CATTAACAACATATCTATTAGCTATTAGATTATTTATATGACCAAATGAAATACAAGAACATTTAGTTGGATTTAAGTTTAAAACATTTTGTTTTGACTATAAACATATGTTCTTTACATCTTCTTACAGGAGATCTCTATCCGATTTATTATGTATACAACGAAAGCAAATAGCAGAAAGTGTGAGTTTTTGATAGCCTTACCAATATCGTTAATAAACAAGTTAAAAAACAAGGGACCACAATGAGACCCTTGTGGTACACCAGAATAACAATGAAATTCTTTTGAAATATAATTGTTAATACGACCTTGCTGTGTACGTTCCATCAGAAAACTTTTAATCCAATTAAAAATGGGGTCACCAAAGCCAGATGCATGAAGTTTCTGAAGCAAAAGATTATGATTAACCTGGTCAAAGGCCTTTGAGAAATCAGTGTAAACGCTGTCAACCTGAATTATATTCTCACTTGCACCCAACAAGTATTGTTGGTAATTGACAAGGTTTGTTACAGTTGATTTCCCATTAGAAAAACCATGTTGTTCATCAATAATTATGTTTCTGCAAGCCCAGGTGAGATAGGTGTAAGAAAACTATTTTTCCAATATTGTGGAAATACAGATGATGACAATGATAAATTGAAAATTTGTTGTAAAGGTTTACAAAGAGAAAAAATACAGTTCTTAATAAGTGCTGCAGGTATACCATCAGGCCCTGAAGAATAAACTCCTAATTCCCCTGTAATTTTTAAACTGCTAATGCCCTCGAAAACATCAGTCAGACTAAACTTCAGACTCTGGAAATCCACACTATAGTCCAATTTAAAATTAGGTACATTACACTCACTATCATTATATGTACCTGAAAAATAACTGGCAAATAGATTTACTATTTGATCACCATTCTGAGCTATTATATCCCCACCTTTATTAGACATTACATTAGGATAAGCACTAGACCCACATGTAGTACTAACATACCTCCAAAAAGAGTGGGGATTACTTGAACATTCTCTAAATAGTTCTTATAACATACTGCTTGTAAAGCTTTACATCTTCCCTTAACACCGAAAATTCCTCATCAGTTGCCTGATGCTTTAAAATTCTTGTGAGCTATTTTTTTCTGTATGACAAGCTCAATTAATTCTCGCGAAAACCAAACTGGAAAGTTTAATGATTTAAACTGTTTGATAGGTACAAACATATTGATGACACCATATAAAATATGGTAAAAATTTTCTAAGCAGCAATTTATATCTGATTCATCTTGTAGCGTTTTATATTTAATGTCGGGGTGTAAAGCTAGTTCGCGTCCGTAGTAGAACACTACACGTGCACCCTGGGTAACGCTAAATGAACTAGCACAAAAGGCGCCAGACAATCTTGAATCTCCTGGCAATTCAATCATCACAGAAAATCTTTCCAGAAATGACACTTGTAAACGGACCTTATCAGGACCATTTGACCAAAGAACTCGGACCAAGCATACGAGTTTGCCATTTTAACATAGAAGGCATAAGCAGGGCAAAATGTCAAATCCTGCACAGACTTTTAAAAGACAACGAAGTTGATCTAGTAGCACTTCAGGAAACGCACACAGAAAACGAAGGTCAACTAAGCTCAAGAGGAAAAATTCCCGGCTATGATCTTTTGGGCGCTACCTACGATAGAGCTTACGGAGTGGCAACATATGTCCGTTCAAACATAGAAAATGCAGCATTAATAGCCACTTCTACCGAGAACAACATCCACGAGGTAACTGTGAAAATAGGCAATGTCATAATAGCTAACATATACAAACCTCCTGCTATTACCTGGCCTGTCCAAGTTCTTAATTCCTATGAACATCCAGCCATATACGTAGGTGATTTCAACAGCCACCATGAGATGTGGAAATACTCAGACACTGACAGAAATGGCACATCCCTTGTGGAATGGGCAGAAGAACATGGTGCCCACCTTCTATTTGACGCCAAAGATAGAGGCACTTTCAGATCTGCGGCCTGGAGGAGAGAATATAACCCTGATCTCTGTTTTGTTACCATTGACAACAAAGGCCAACCGCTAGCAGCATCACGAAGGGTTATGTCTGACTTTCCACATAGTCAACATCGCCCCGTCCTAATCAAGATCGGTATCAGCATTCCGATTATAAGATCGTTCCCACGCCCCAGATGGAACTTCAAGAAAGCTAACTGGTCTGCTTTCACCAGTAACCTTGACAAATGCCTAGGATGGATTCCACCAAAGAGCCAGAACTACGGGAGACTAACAGGAGCAATAATCACCTCAGCAAAAGCGACAATCCCTAGAGGATACCGCAAAGAATATATCCCTGGTTGGACAGAACAGAGCGAAAAACTGTATGAAGAATATTGCGAAGATGGAAAGCAGGAGATTGCAGACGAACTACTCCACAGCATTGATGCTGCCAGGCGTGAAAAATGGACACAGACAGTAGAAAACCTAGACTTTCAGAAGTCAAGTCGACAAGCTTGGTCCCTACTGCGGAAACTCGGAAGTAGCAACCCACCCGTTCGCCAAACCAACCTAGTAACTCCAGACCAAATAGCTACGCACATAGTGTCAACCTCTAGGGCACCTCAAAATCGTTTACATACAATTAAAGTTAAAAAAGACCTCAAAACCATAAAATCTAGTCTTGCACAGTCAATAGAATATTCCAACCCATTTACGTATGAAGAAATATCGCAAGCCCTAAATGAAATGAAAACAGGAAAAGCGCCGGGTTTCGACGCCATTCACGCTGAGTTCCTCAAACATAGCGGCAGATTCACTAGGCAATGGCTCGCAGAATTCTTTTCTGACATCCTTCAAACGGGAAACGTCCCCCACCAACTCAAAAATGCAAAAATCGTCGCCATTTTAAAACCAGGGAAAAGTAATAATTCACCGAAAAACTACCGCCCCATCGCACTCTTAAGTATGGTGTACAAATTGTTCGAAAGACTGTTGTATAATAGAATCAGCAAAACCATATTCCAACACTTACCAGTGGAACAGGCAGGATTTCGGCCAAACCGCAGCTGCACAGACCAGGTACTCGCCCTGACCAATTATGTGGAATCAAACTTTCAAAAGCAATCAAAAACAACCGCTGTCTTCATCGATCTATCTGCTGCTTATGACACTGTGTGGCGACAAGGGGCAATATATAAATTAATGCGAATAATCCCATGCAGAAAGACCACTGAGGTTATTAACGCCATGCTATCCAACAGATGCTTTAAAGTTATATTGGGAGACAAGACTAGTACCCAAAGAAAACTGAATAATGGACTTCCACAAGGATCCGTGCTGGCTCCCATGCTTTTCAGCCTCTACATAGCAGACATGCCAGAAACCACATCAAAAAAGTTTGGATACGCAGACGACTGGACGCTTGCCGCAAGTCATAAAGAATTCGAGGTCACTGAACGCATTCTAACAAACGATTTAAATGCCCTAGGGAATTATTTCCGCAAATGGAGATTGCAACCCAATCCAACTAAGACAGAAGTGTCCTGCTTCCATTTATACAACAAGATGGCCAACTATCAACCTCAAATCAATTTTGGGGATAGACTCCTTAAATATAATAAACACCCAAAATACTTAGGTGTTACACTTGACAGAACGCTGAACTTTAAAGAGCAGATGAACTGTGGCAGATGTTCCGACTCACTTTTTAGATGGGGAAAAATAAAATCACCAAATTGCGACTGCGGCGCCGAAAGGCAAACAGTAAAACACATGGTAGAGGAATGCCCGATTAGATCCTATAATGGCAACCCTTCAGATTTCCTGGCTGCTACAAAAGAGTCAATCGAATATATTTATAATCTAGATATATTTTGTTTGTTTGTAGAATAATATTTTTATATTTACTGTTGTTTGTAATTTATATAATTTATATTTATATATTTATATTTATATGAACCTGTGATGTAGCCATACGCTAAATAAATAAATATTTAATGTCTATATTATGATAATATAAATTCGGCTTTAAATTTTTGTAGTACGCAACTGGTTGTTTATCTCAAGTTAAATGTATGTTTTAAAGGTTGATGCAAAAATATAGATATTTTGTTTCTGTTACATTGTCAGGTAGAAAATTATTCCGGTTAAAATAATCAATATATACATGTATTTCTACCAATTCAAAAGTAAATATAGATGTTTTTGTCTGTGTTTACATACAAATCTCCAACTTTCTGCTACATGGTCAGGTAAAAATAAAGATGTTTTATGGTAGTTCATAGGGACAAGCGAGGGGTAATATTGTTTGTTTAGGTTTTGTAGGCGCAACTTTTTCGGAGAGGTGAAAAGAATTGGGATTTACGTTGAAATTTTAAAACTGAAGGCAGATAGGCAGTCAAGAAAGAGAAGTCAAGCGAGAGCAGTTAAACTGAGAAAACGTTTTGGGCGACTTTGAATCCACAGTCGATGCAGCTCCAATCCTAGGGATTTGGCAAGTTTTGTGTCAGTTATGTTCAAAGTTTGTGAATTAAGGTAACAATTCAATATATTATATTTTCCGAGTTAAATAGACATTTTTAATAATTGCTTTCATTAAAATAAAAAAATTTGTAATAACTAAAGTTTTATATTATGTTCATAGCTAGAAAATGTCATAATTTATTCTGTTTTAAAATATTATGTTGACATATGACATAGGAACATAGAATAGGAAGAACATACTAAATTTTAAGTGAAAAAAAAGGAGATTCTCTATTGACTATCTTTTCAGGTGTTACATAAAGTCATAGAGTATGACATAAAAAGATACCACTGTATTATAAACCTCCAAGTAAGGAAAAGGAATAAAGAGGTTTGGGGATTGTATATAAAGAGAGACACAGTAGAGAATCAGGTGAAGATGGTAAATTCCATGAACGGCAGATTTAAGAGAAGGCCTAAAAGAGGTAAATGTTATTTCATTAAAAAAAAAGTATTTAGTACTGACAATAATTACTTTATACAAACACTATGACACATACCCCCACATCTTCTTCTTGAATGTTTCTCCAATACCATTAAGCATCTTAATATAATTATTTCTACATTCAGACTGACAATCTAAGATGTGAGGAAGAACAGCAACTACACACAGAGGTTTATCTTCACACAATTTCTTGAATGACTTATCATCTAAAATTTGAGTTACTTCTGGTGCTGGAATATTCTCTGCTAACTTTTCTAAAGCCCAGTTAACAATATCACTTGATGTGCGACCACCATCATAATCTGTAGGAGAATCTTTTGCATCTGGGGCAAAGAATTTGATTGTTGGATATCCTGCAAATAGAATTTTTTGTAGCTTGTAATAATATATATTGCAAATGGAAAAATTAGAAGATAATTGGATTATATTGTAGTTCCTGTAGCTTTAATAACACATATTGTGATACCTGATAGGTATAAAAATAGAAGTCTTGGATAAAAAGTATATATTTAGGTATTTAACTATAAACACATAATTGTCTATTAATCTACAACATATCAAGGGAGTAGAATAAATCACATAAATTTGCAACAAAGGAAACACCCAGTGAATCTATTACAGATGAAGTTGAGATCTGCTCATTAGCAACAATTGTTACATATTCTCAATTTTCTGCCTTGAATTATCTCTAGTGGTGAGTGAAAAATTGAATCTTTTGGGATTACCTATAGTAATTCAGCATGGGGTGCAGTACTATAATAGAAACTTTCATAAACAGATGGTACAGTGCAAAATAGGAAAATTAAGATCTGCTATTTATAGGAAAATAGTTACCACTGTCTCATGTATGTAATGGAAGAAAACTGTATGTTTATAAATGGCATCTACAAAGTGAACCAACATCAAATAAAACAAAGAAAAGTGGCCTCTCACAAGTTAACTAAAATGTTACTTTTTTATAAATTTAGTTTTACCTTGTACTCCATATTGTGATGCTCTTGCTTGATGAACAGTTGCATCTAATGCTCCAAGTTTTACCTTGCCTTTAAGTTCAGCTGCAGCTTTAGACCAATGAGGAGCAAGGTTTTTGCAGTGCCCACACCAAGGTGCAAAAAATTCTACTAGCCACATATCATCAGATTTCAGTACTAGCTTTTCAAAATTGCTATCAGTCAATTCAATTACATGGCTATTATCAGACTAGAAGAAAAAAATCATTCAATGCAAATACTGTTAAGATTTTAATCTTTAATATCACCTACATCATCAGACTGTGATCCACCTAAACCAAGATTTGCTTTAGCTTTTGCTGCCTTAAGTGCACCTTCAACAATATCTTTGGCAGTTCTACCACCATTAAAATCTTCAGGTTTACGTTTATCTGCCCCAAAAATTTTTATAGTAGGAAATCCTCTAATTCCATACTGACCTCCTAATTCTTTGTGCTGGTCTACATCTACTGCTCCAACTTTCACAATGCCCTAAAAATTTATTTTGTATTAAAAATATCCATTATGTATGTCTTATAATATGTCTTATGTATGTCCATTAATGTATGACTTTTGAAAAAAATCCTTAATGATTTGATAACATTAGGAACAGTAGAGCTATCCAGAAACAAATATTTAAGTAATTATTGATGTATATTAATTAATAACTTACTTTTAAAGCATTGGCTGCTTTGATATATTCTGGTACTAAATTCTTACAATGGCCACACCAAGGAGCAAAGAATTCAACCACCCACACTTCATCTCCTTTGACCACCAATTTATCAAAATTACTTGGTGTTAATTCAACTACATTTCCACTACTAGGGTAGAGAGCTAGAGATGACTGGAAAAAAAGACCTAAAACTATATGCAAAGGGATAAGTGTTTTATTTTATGTTGTAAACAGGGATAAGTATATTCCCCTAACCTTAACTAGATAAGTAAAAGGGATTTATTTTAATACTAAAACACATATGGAAAACATATTTATTTAGAGTAGTGAGTGATTAAAGATCAAAAAGACAAGATCAGCACAGCAAAGAGTAACCACATTATACTTTTAAATATTCTAGTTTGCTTTTTTAATTGAAAATATTATAAAACATAGTAAACCGGCAAAATACAACGTTAGGAATTAAAAGTATAAATATATCCTTGCTCTGGATTCTGTTTAAAAGATCAAACTTTTTAATATAAAAAAAAATTGTAATCATATACACAAAAAAAGTGGTTGAATTAATACTTACAAAGTATTTGTATCATTTTTAACACAACAATTTTACATTCAAATATATTCAGTTCTTAAAGTAGAAAATATTCAGCAGTCTTTTTTATGCACCATCCAGATTCCACATTCAATTTCCACCCACCGGAGCTACTGAAACTGAATTCAATTCAGATAATTGGCAAAACGAGATACTAAATACCCCTCTCTCAGAAAACAAATTTTGCCAAGCAACCAAATTTTCGTGGTATGATTTGATTCGTTCATTTTCATTTCGGAACTTCGGAACGTAGCGCAGACCTGAGGAACGTAGGCAGCTGCCAAGGTTAGTAAAAGGGAGGTTGCATGATAACTCATGACATTGACAGAATGAAATACGACGTGTGACGTCACCCAGGGGGTCAATTTTACGAATTGTTTGAAAACAAAATAGGAGAAGTGGTTTTTAAAATATATTTTGTTGTTAAATATCGTTAGTGCTTTAGTTTATGTTAATATCTTGAGATATAATATGTCTATAGATAATATTGAGTGATTTTTAGTATACAACTTGGACCCAATACTCTTATACAAGAAGATACATTTAACGTGGTTGTGTCTTACTGGATTTTATTTCTGCTGTATTATATAGTAAAGGTAACATTGGGATTAACGCAGGAAAAACATAACTTCATTCAATTTTTTTATTAATTCAGATGACTGGTGGAAATATTTGTAGTGTAGCAATTTGCAAATATAATTCAAAAAATTCCAAAAAGGATGGAAGGAATTTAACATTTTTTACATTTCCAAAAAAATGTAAAAATTCAAAAGCAATGGATGAGCAAGTGTCAGAGGAAGGATAAGTGGTCCTGTTTTAATAAAAGAGTTTGTAGTATACACTTTCGCATGGAAGATTATGAGGATGCTTTAAAAGCTAAACTATTTTAAACATACAACCTAAAAAGCTGAAAAAAGATGGAAAGTAGGTATAGTCATTTAAATGTTCAGTAAAAATGTGTTAATTCACTGATTTTGATTTTTATCATTTACTGTTAAGTATGTACAACTTAATAGGTATCTATTTAATGGAATCATGTTTTAATATTTTTTGTATTCTATTATATAATCCAGTAATGTAATCAGATGTTCCTCAAATATATTGAAGTTAAGGGGAAAACTACTAATTCTGATATATAAATCTTTAGTTGAATCTCTTTTTCAGCATGGTTTACTAGTTTGGAGTAATTTATAATAATCCACTACATGCATTATCCTCAATTCAAAATAATTTTAAGAAAGTAAATTGTATTCAACTCAACCCATTATTAATATAGCATATTAACATGTTTTAGTCACATGTATACACAAGAAAGAATCTACTTCCAATTTAATATAGTAATTCTATTCTACTACATATGTTTAGCTGCAATAATATTTTATGATTTCTGTAACTCTGCAGGTACTTATCTCCCACATTTTTTAAAAATTGAATGAAATAAATAGTTATTAAAAGTCCAAATGTATTTGTTTTTGATATACATAGATTAATATATTTACAATCTTTGTTGATTTTCGAGTTCATTTCGAGGAGTAAAGTGAATGAATTTGAATGTAGCATTCTCAGTGACGTCATTCCCGCCGTTAGATTCTCGACGCTGATTGGTGTAAAGTTACCAGACAACCTGTCTATTTTTAATAACCTTGGGCAGCCGCTAGGTTGTCTCGGTTATGGAACAGATAAAATGCGACATTACATACGCCATATTGTGTGACGTCACACTATCTAATATGCAAATACAATATTAGTCCACATCAGTTCATTTTAACGTTTTTTAGAAGCGTTTGAGATGGTTTATTACATTACCTTCATTTTTTTTTAATAATAAGAAAAAATAGGAGACGCTATTTTCCGCGTAATTAAGTTTATTTTGTAGGAATCAAAAAGAATTCATAAATTTCAAATAAAAAATAAATTTCTACACAGTTTTGATGTATGACTATAAAATAACTCGATTCATATCTAAAGCACAGAATAAATAACAATCATAATGCCCACTCTCAGATGCCGCCTTTGAAGTTTGTCAGCACGCGATCGCCATATTTTAAACTGAAACATAGACTCGAATTAAGAAATTTGTGACAAATTACAACAGAAATGTAATTTAAATTTTTAGAGATTAATTATTTAGTACATTTGAAATAATTTAATCTATTCTTGAACTATAAATACGAATAAAATAGAGCATATTATGTCTATAGTTAGCGCAAATAAATTAAACCGGGTTAATTTTTCTATGCACACCACATAAAATGTCACTGAACGTTCGATGTCGAAGTTCGAAGTGTCAATGTTTGAAGTGTCGATAGTCACGCATTCATTTCCACGACGAGACGATGAGGTGGGGTCCGGAGCGGCTATTTAAGGCGAGCGGCTGGCGGAATTAAATAAGTCTTGTGGCTAACGCTCTAGGCTCCCTGTTTCGCTAGTGTATTGAATCTGCGAGCCAACCCGGACAGAAATACTTCTGCAGTGAGGATTACACTCTGTCCTTAATTAAGCAGAACCCGTGGGTATCGTGGATTCAACGTTACCGTCAACTCTGACTCAGAGTATAACGTGGGTCTGCACAACCGAATATTTTGATTGCGAGAACGTTTGACGCTTCCGCTGACTGAGGTGGAAGCGAGTATAAGTCTGCGTGCGATCGAATTCGCGTATTTCATTTTTTGTTAGTAATAATAATTTTTTTTCCTTTCCGGACCTCCGCCGGGTAATTTACTCTCGCGGGATTCAGGCGGGGATAAAGAATATATTTTATTTTTATTTTGTATATACGTTAGAATTAATAGATTTATTTTTATTTCAACCTGTGTTTTACTGATTCCGTCGCGTCGAAAGAGCTACCCGTCACAACTGCACAGCACTGGTTCCGTTTAAAACATGGCTGATTCCTTCTGCGCGAACGAGATGCGCGTACTTATTTTTTCAAGCAGAGTGGGCATTGCATCGAATTAGATTCTAACTCGACGGGGCATTGTGATTGTTTATTAATATGTGCCTAAAGCATAAAGATTTAAAAGAAATCAAAATAGGCAGTAGAAGAAGAAAGGAAAAAAAGTCGTCGAAGAAATGAAAATTTTAACAAAAACCAAAAAATATGAAGAAATATGTATATTTTTCAGAAGATATTTTTAAAGTCTCTTAAATCAAAATGTCAAATCAAACAGATTTAAAAAAAAAAAATAGTTTATTAATCTGTGGTCGTTAATCTTTATTCTGTGGTCAAATTTTCACAGATTTACTTCTGTGTTTGACAAGAGACGCTTGCTTAAACTATTTTCTCATGCATGAACTTCTCATGCATGATACTATAAACTACAGATAAACCCATAAACCCACGCGCACGCGATCAGTCGTGTAACGTCACTTGGCGACAAATGTCACCAGAAATGTTCTGTGTTGTATGGAGTTTTGTCAGATTTAGTCAAGGTTAGTAGATATTTAAGCATGATACTAAGACTTCCAAGATAAACCCACTTCGCAATCGAATTTTGTACATCGACGCGCATGACGTCAATTGGTGATAAAAGTCACTTTTATCACCAACCTTTTATCATCACAGTCGGTAAAACATATATGGAAAGAAAGGGGTTTTTATTTAAATATTTAGAATATTAAGGGATGTTAGGTAAAATATATGCAATTAAATCTTAAAAATATGTTATATATACATCTCTGTTAGCCTAGCAATGTAAACTAAAATTATATAAAAAAGTAAGAACTAAACATCCTTTTGCAAATGGAAATTTATATACTTACAATGGATTGATTTATTAAAATAAAAATTTAATACAACTGATAAAATAAAATACACTGTAATAATTTACAAGTTTATTTAACAATTTATTTTACAATTTTTAATATTTTCTTCTTCTTAACTTTGGATGTTTCTTTAATATATCTATTCAATTTTCTAATTTTAAAATATAATTTACACCTTTACTAACATTACATCTGAACACAGCTAAATCCATTAGCGATTTTAAATAATTCTTGGTTAATTTTAATGACCCTTTGTTAAAATTGTTAAAAATATGGTCCAGTTCATTACATTTAATTAGAAAATCTGGATATGGTTTAAGTAAACCTCCTTCGGAAAGATGGTTTACCCAGTAAACCGATGTCAACGTACAAGATAAACGATAAAACAAAACTAAATCTCAAGGTTAGTAGATATTTAAGTAGATACTTAAATATCTACTAACCTTGACTAAATCTGACAAAACTCCATACAACACAGAACATTTCTGGTGACATTTGTCGCCAAGTGACGTCACACGACTGATCGCGTGCGCGTGGGTTTATCTGTAGTTTATAGTATCATGATATTTAAGTATCTACTTAAATATCTACTAACCTTGAGATTTAGTTTTGTTTTATCGTTTATCTTGTACGTTGACATCGGTTTACTGGGTAAACCATCTTTCCGAAGGAGGTTTACTTAAACCATATCCAGATTTTCTAATTAAATGTAATGAACTGGACCATATTTTTAACAATTTTAACAAAGGGTCATTAAAATTAACCAAGAATTATTTAAAATCGCTAATGGATTTAGCTGTGTTCAGATGTAATGCTAGTAAAGGTGTAAATTATATTTTAAAATTAGAAAATTGAATAGATATATTAAAGAAACATCCAAAGTTAAGAAGAAGAAAATATTAAAAATTGTAAAATAAATTGTTAAATAAACTTGTAAATTATTACACTGTATTTTATTTTATCAGTTGTATTAAATTTTAATTTTAATAAATCAATCCATTGTATATAAATTTCCATTTGCAAAAGGATGTTTAGTTCTTACTTTTTTATATAATTTTAGTTTACATTGCTAGGCTAACAGAGATGTATATACCTATAACATATTTTTAAGATTTAATTGCAGATATTTTACCTAACATCCCTTAATATTCTAAATATTTAAATAAAAACCCCTTTCTTTCCATATATGTTTTACCGACTGTGATGATAAAAGGTTGGTTATAAAAGTGACTTTTATCACCAATTGACGTCATGCGCGTCGATGTACAAAATTCGATTGCGAAGTGGGTTTATCTTGGAAGTCAGTATCATGATTCTCATGATACTTGCCTTTGCTCTTGCTCTTAGCTGTCAAAGCCGTAATGGTGGTTAGGAAAAGTGAATTATCTTAAAATAAAAAAAGTGAAAATGTTTCCAAAAAAGATTTAAATAACATTATAAGATATTAAAGTGCTCAGAACAATTCGAAATTGCATATTTCTGTCATAATTTGGAAATAAATATGATGGAGAGAATTGTGGCTTCATCAAAATGGTGGGTGTTTGTTTTTTGGTTAACATAATAGTTTTGATAAATTTATGTTTGGCTAAACCAAGAGACTGCCCAAAGATATGCTCATGTTTGGGAGCATATGTAGATTGTTCCTCAAAGAAATTTGAAACTAATTCCCTCCGTATACCAAAATGGGCAACACATTTGTAAGTTGTTTTATTATGTTATTTTGTAGATATTATTTACTTTTTATTTTAAGGAATTTGCAAAACAGTTCAATAAAGAAATTAACAGATGTCAATTGGAAACGTCTCTCGGCGTTAACAGAACTTACTTTAAACAAGAATGCCATTTCTTCCATCCCAAAAGATGTATTTCAGTATCAAAGTCAGTTGAGGATACTGTAAGTAACTTTTAATTATAATTTACTAGCAATTCTAAGTTCATTTGCAATAGAAACAATAAACATACCTGAAAAAAATATCTAAATATGAAAAGTTCAGGTGATAAATGAAAAGTTACTAATTTGTAAATTTGACAAAATTATTTTTTTCAATATCCAATGAAGGTATCACATAAATAGTAAAATTGAGACTGTAAAATGTTTTTACTTTCAAATTGGATGTCTTAATATAATTATCAGGACGATTTTCACATTTGGTCCCATTGAAGATAGCTTCAAATGGGTTTGACAGAATGAAATATTGGTGTTTCACAGTGTTGAAATTTACATTACAAATGAAACATAGGCAATTAAAAGCAATAAGATATTTAAAAACTAATATTTAACGATTACGAAAAAAAGAAAAAGTAAATAGTTTTAAAACAGTTTTTAACAGTAAATAGTAAAATGTCAGTATAAATAATAAGATTTAAAATGCATCTGTTGCAATCTGGCAGCTGGTGGATTGAGGATTCTGACTCTATTGCCAAATCTATCTGCTAACCTATCAAAGGGCAATTGCCAAAAAAATTTTCTAATAATTTATTACAACTAATATCAAACGAAACAAATATTACTTCATTAATATTTTATATAAGGTATAAAATTGCAGAATCCATAAAATAATATGATAAAAATGTACCTTTTAAAAGCTTTATCTCTTTGTATTTGAAGCATATATATATATATATATATATATATATATATATATATATATATATATATATATATATATATATATATATATATATATATATATATATATATATATATATATATATATATATATATATATATATATATATATATATGTCTTCATATCAAGGCGAGATCCTTTTGTATCATAAGCTATACAAGGTGAGATCCGTTTTGCAAGGCGAGATCCGATTTTGGATCTCACCTTGTATTCACGTGTATATAGTGATATCTCGACGTAACAATCATGGGGGTACAAAGAAATCGATTTTTGTCTGGACCTCATTTTGCACCCCTTTTGGTGAATTTTATATTGCAGTAGTTCCACTAAATCCGCTGTAGAGGCAGTGCGAGCGATCCGTTGTGTATATGCTAAATATACATTTTGTAGACAACCCGAGATCCGGTAAATTTGGCAACATCGCAAATGAATTTTACAGTCAGACCTCTCCCTCGCTTCGGCTTATTTCCGGTTTGAATAATATTATTTACAATATTAAAGAGCTCTGTCCAGAAAGGCGATTGTCAAATATCTCGAGAACTAGACGTCGTATCGAAGAAACTTAAGAATTTTTTTTATGGTTTTTCAAAATCTATATACTTATGCAATACCAGGGTTCTTATTCTCCCTGCGAACGCGGTGGGTGTAGCAACTTTGAATTTTCAACTGGAACCCTTTATTTTTATTTAAATAAACATTTTGAAATTATATTAGAACTATTATGGATATAGATATAAAATTAGAATAATTAATTAAATTAGAAATTTAGAGTTGAAAATACACAACTTTTGTGTGAATCTATAATAGCTTCTTTAACCAGTGGGAAGAGCTTCAAAATCGTCGTTTTGATGACATTTTTAGGAGTTAGATGATTTTAAGTAATTTTTTAGATAAAATTATGTAGAACACGTTGGTAAGTACTCGAAGTCTAAAAAATTTTGGAGACATTGTTTATTTGTAGTATTATTTTTTTACAATTTTTCTTCGCAGATTTTCTTCACTGTTTGTTTTACAAAAATGTCAAAAACTTATTTTAATCGCTTTTAAAAGAATTACAAAACAAAGCTTACCGCGTTCAATTTGAATGAGTTACAAATACAAATCTGTTTTACATATCATTTATAATTAAGGGACCAACTATGCTGTTCACGTACTATGTTAAGATTCCACGGGAATATTTTTCAATATATGTAGTTCATTTATGCTAAACTTGGACACTGTACGTCAAATAGTTTAGGAGCTACAGCTTTATAAACAAATTAACTTCATATTTCCTTTAAATTCGTTTACTGAAGAAAATCCAAATTTAGCTATACAGCTCGCACTCCCTCGTAGGGGAAAATTCACTCATCCCAGACACCCACCTTATCAAAGATTGACTTGTGGGACTCTTTCTGTGTTCGATTCCTAGGTGACTTGGTACATCGGGGTTTGTCCCAAAAATTTTCTTACATTATTATCTAGTATTATATAAAGCTTATTAAGGACGTTGTAACGGCGTTAAAGTTCAAAAGCTTGTGATATATAAAACATCTAAATTTGCAACGGTTTTTCCCTGGCAGCAAATATCACGTTCAAGAACAAAGGATAGTGATAAAAACAATTAAATCTGGAGAGATCTATTTAGAAAAATACGCTACCTGACAAGTGACTTCAGAGCCACAACTTGGGCCATTGAAGATAACACTGGAAACCTGAGAACAAACAGAGAAGACATAGCAGAGACATGGAGATCGTATTGCAGGGACCTATATAAAGATGATCAACGCCAAGAGCTTGTTAGCCAAATCTCTGACGAGGTGGAAGAAGAACCTGATATACTCGAAAATGAAGTAAGACAGGCTATCAACAAGCTCAAATATAACAAAGCACCAGGTCCAGATATGATAACAGCAGAAATGCTTAAAGCCACAGAAGAAACCGGCGTAAAGTTACTTCATCTACTCTGTAACCAAATATGGCATTCCAAACAATGGCCTGAAGACTGGACAAAATCTACAATAACGACCATACATAAAAAAGGCAGCTTGCATAAATGCGACAATTATAGAACTATCTCTCTTATATCCCATGCCAGCAAGATAATGCTACATATAATCAATGAGAGACTGAAAACATTCCTTCAAAGAGAAATTCCACAAGAGCAAACTGGATTTACCAAAGGTAGAGGCACTCGAGAACACCTGCTGAATATAAGACAGATAATCGAGAAATCTAGGGAATTCAACATACCACTTACATCTATTTTATAGATTACCGTAAAGCGTTCAAAAGGGTCAAGTGGAGACACTTATGGCGAATACTAAAAGAAGTAGGCGTACCACAACATCTAATTACGCTTATAACCGAAATATATGAACACACTACTGGATCAGTTAAAGTACTTGACACACTTTCGAACGAATTTCATCCAGAACGGGGTGTCAGACAAGGATGTATACTATCTCCACAATTATTCAACATATATGGGGAGTATATTATGCGAAGAGCACTTGAAGGATGGGAAAAGGGCATCTCAATAAATGGTCATAAACTAAACAAACTACGTTTCGCAGATGACACAGCCCTTCTTGCAAATAGTCAAGCAGAGCTGATAGAACTTATACGACTGATCGAAAACGAAAGTCAAATATTTTGATCTGCAATTAAACATATCAAAGACAAAGATCATGATAGTGGATAGACTACACAACAATCATCCACACATAACCACAATTGACCGGTTCGAGGTTGTGAGCTCATACTTATATCTGGGATCATTAATCACAAACACAGGGTCATTACAAGAAGAGATTAAACGTAGATCTGATCTAGCAAAAGTTGCCACAGCAAAAATGACCAAAATTTGGAAGGACTGTCAAATTTCAAGAGCGATAAAGATGAGGTTGATCAACTGCTTAATATTCCCAATACTGACCTACGGATGTGAATCTTGAACTCTGAGACAATCGGAGAGAAGAAAGATAGACGCCACTGAAATGTTCTGTTGGAGACGAATGTTACGAATTCCTTGGACCGACCGCAGAACAAATAATTCAATTTTAAGAGAGCTAAAAGTTAGTCAACGACTCTCTAGTAAAGTCCATCTCCAACAACTAAAATATTTTGGGCATGTTATGAGAGCAAACACAGAAAACATGGAAAGACTCATAATACAAGGAAAGGTAGAAGGCCGAAGATCACGAGGAAGATCCCCAACAAGATGGATAGATCAAATTACAGGAATATGCCAAAGACCTATGCATGAATTAAAAGAAATGACCAGAGACAGAGATCTCTGGAGACGGCCAATACACGACATCACGTCGACCACTACACTCCCCCTGGGGGGTCAGGATTGAAGGGAGAGACCTATTTCTTAATTATTATCTTGTGTTAGTTATCTTACTCTATGTTAGACTTTTCATTACTATAAAAAGAAGTAACACTCTCTATGGTTAAAATTGTTCACGTTTATCACCTTTTTTGTAACATTTCACTTGGGCCATAATATATTTACAAGAACCAATGAATTTGATCTCGTTTCCGTTTACACGAGTATTTGAGCCCCCATACAGTCTGATAATCTAAAAAACCAATATAATAATTATTCGTCACAAAAAGGTAAAAATAAACTCATCTTTTACACCTATTAGGAGTATAGTATATGTATGCATGTTTCTTCAACTTGGATTCCGTGCTTAAAACTGGTACTAGCTCTACATTTTCTTTACTCCAGCCAGTTAGCAGCAACAGATTCGGCAGTCAAAATCTTGGTGTCAGGCTACATACTCATACCTTCGTTTGGATGAGTATGTACACGAATATTATATATTATACTGTCTGAAGTAGGAGAAAGTTTATAATGTTTATATGGACCAGTACAAAGATTGTTAGTACTGGTCAAATACAAAACCAATCCTTTTAGGGTTGTAGAGGTTCTTGAACACTATTGATTTTAAAATTCTTGCATAGTTGCCAAATGATTTGCAGTTGGAGGGTTTGCCAACGGCTGGGATTAAGCTCATACCTTCAAGAATGTGACACATTTGTTACTTTATAATGGTAATGGTAGATATTTAGACATAACTGTAAACTGTCCTATTATAGAACCTAAGGCAGATTTATTTGATGGTATCGATTAAACTGTTACAGGTACAAGTGACATTGGATGTGCTGTAAATTCATATTTGAAAATATTCTCATAATATTTATGTTACTTTCAATTGCCTTGGTTGTTAGTATTTTTTGTAAAAGCTCTTGTTCAGCTTGAATAATTTTTTTC